GAGTTTCCCGACTAAAATACATTGAATAATTAGAAGTGAGCCTTCACTCAGATTTCGCAATAGAAAAAAAAAGTCTTTCTCATTAGTTACACCCTTACTTCTTTTTCTAGCAGAATCATTGCTTTATCATAACTTTACCGATTGAAAGCACAGAGTAAGAATGTGCTTTACAAAAAAATTTAGGGCTGGGAAGAAAAATTGCGGCAAACAATTTTTAATATAACTGTATAAAAAATAAATAAATTAACAATATATAAGTGCTTAGAATATTTTTCAACACACATGTGCTTAGAACATTTATCTTAAGAATAATTAACGGCAAAGAAAACTGTATCCAGGAATAAACCAGGAAACTTGACCTGAAATTATTGGCCTTATTGGCATAGAGGCATACTGTACGGGTAGACAGACACAATGAAAGTAATCAGGTCATGGTACCGCTAATTCTCGTTTGCGCATACCTTTCACTTCTTAACGAAACTCATCCATTGTTCTAAATTGCTTGATCTTTCAAACGAATATCAGATTTGGCTTTTTGAAACAGATGATATGATAGAACTAAACATTCTATTTAATTTTCAATGCTTCTGCTGTTGTCAATTTTTAAGAGAAACCAGTAGACTACACATTTATTTATAGGAAATATTCTCCCATTAGTTCAGATGGAACAACAGCCAAAAGTTGAACCCCAGAACGTTAATTACACTTTTTGCGTATTTGTCATATTTTTAAATTTTTAATAATTAAAAACTATTCAATCGATTCTTTTTCAACTTTGGATTTTGTCATTCGAAACTACATTCATTTAATTGGTACAAATTTTTGTTAACAATACAATTCAAAATNAATATTCTCCCATTAGTTCAGATGGGAGACTTTTTGCATACACTTTTTGCAATTACACTTTTTGCGTATTTGTCATATTTTTAAATTTTTAATAATTAAAAACTATTCAATCGATTCTTTTTAAACTTTGGATTTTGTCATTCGAAACTACATTCATTTAATTGGTACAAATTTTTGTTAACAATACAATTCAAAATATTTCGCCGTTATGAAAAATAATAAGTAAGATGAAGTGTAATTGCTTACATGGAATTATCTTTGAATAAAGAAATTTTATAATTGTGTTTAGAGACGTTTTGATCCGTTTCATTAGTTCCGAAGATATGGTGAGATACGCATATTGAGAAATTAGCATTGAGGGGACCAAACTTTCGACCACCCTCCTGTTTAAACTATTAAGATTATATTTTCCATATTTCGGAGAGGTTGTTTGTTCAGAGAAAGCGCGTTATTTTGTTTGCTTTGTGGCTTAAAGTATCGTCTACACTAAATAATTAGCATATTTTAGGTTTCTTTTACTTAGATTGACTTATAGTACGTAAAATTCAATCATTAGATAAAAATTTATTCAGGGTGTTCACCTTTTTATTTTTCTCACTATATACACTATACTTAATTTGTGTATATAGAGTGATCCACAATAACTACCCCCTTATATATATTTTCTCAATCCCAGTCTTTGCAATCTTTCAAGTATACTCATTATGGGTCAAAGATAAATATTTTTTGTAGGAGTCAATCATAGGTTCGCAGAAAATGAAACCAAAAAAAGAAAAGAAGAAAAAAACTATCGAATACATGAAGTAAGAAAAATGGGACTTAAAGCATCAATACTTGTTTAATTACCAAAAATAGTTGAAATGAGATTATTACAATTACCTTCAAGCTTTATCAGACAATGAAACTGGTTTTTATGGTTTTCACTTAGTCTTTCTCACAATTAACAAAAAAAATTCCTTTCTATGCAGTATGGCCCAATTCAACACTTATCCATTCCGTCTAGTTTCTTGATTAGATCTCTCATGCTGATCTCTCTTGTTTGGATATTTAGTTCACGAACCCCTTTCACTACGGAGAATTAGTTGAAATCTAGTCAAATAAGTGATTTTTGCGAATAATTGTACGAGTTCACAAGCTCTTTTTATTACAGAGAATCAGATGAAGTAAACTTATTGAAATTTAACGAAATAAGTGATTTTTACGAATAATAATATTGTAGATAATATTTAAATTGCTCTCCATAAATAACGGTCCCGTTTAAGTTATTTTTCTATTAATATGTCTTAATATTTCATGAATGTTTGCAAGGTGAAAACGCTAATTTAATAAGAATAAAGATACCTTTGTGTTAACACATTCGAAATGAGCTATATATAAAGCAATTACGCATCTCTTTGTAAATACGAATGCAGGTGTTTTGGGAACATTGCCACAATGAATCATTGAATCTATCTCATTGATGAAGAATTTTAGTAACTTATATTAAGTTTTAGTTACTCATTTTCGAATCCAGAAGATAGTTTTGCAGATAAAAATGTAAAATTATTCCTTTAAATTAAAATAAGACACTTTTAACTCTAAAATATTATTTTTTTTCTCTTGTCAGAAAGTACGAACCACAATTTATACTTAAATAATGGCGGAAAATGTGATTTTTTTTTCCACTTAGGAATATATATCTTGCAACTCATAAATGCGATGAATTACTTCTGCCTTGAAAAATATAATTAATTCAAATAAATTAATTTTTAGTTACGCTTATTTATTTCTAAATACAATCTATGTTAAATTTTCAGTATTTTTTTGTTAATTGAAGAATATTTATTTATTTTAGTTCTTTAGATTTCGGTTACAAAACAAAATGCACTAAGACTCCAGTAATAAGACATTTATAAGCCTTAAAACTGTCCAAAAGCTTATTTGAATCGAACTTCGAACTTTTTTTACAAATTTTTATTGTAATTTAAAATTTCAATTTACAAGGGTAATTCCAATTACTTTACATAGACAATCGCATTGTAACGGCATGCAGATGCTTATTTGAATCAAATTCTTTATCCTTATAAATTCTTATTGTAATTTAAAATTCTAATCAACAAGGCTAATTCCAATTATTACTTCACATAAACAATCGCATTATTACGGCGTGTAGAAGCTTACTTGAATCGAATTTCCTTATCTTTCTTATCAACTTTTATTGTACTAAATATTAAGACAAGAGTCACAGGAATTAATTTTGAAGCAATTTAATATTTTGAGACTTAACTTGCCATGCTTTGCAGAAATTGTTTGACTTTTGTTTATTTGTAAATTAATATAAGGAAATTTCAGGCTTTGACTACTTTTTCTTCTAAATTTTCAGCTTTTAACTACATACATTTTGTAACTAAACAATTTGTTTATGAAGGATGATTAATTATGTACTGAATTATGTTTTTATAGAATAGTACTTAATCTAAGATAGTACACAATATTGTGTTTTTATTTATATGAAACTGCTTAAATTTCACTATTTTTGGCTCCAGTATAGCCAATACTCTCTGCGAAATTAACATCTTTTTGCGAATTTCAATTTTTTGTATTACTATATTTGCCAAAAATACAAATAATGAGAGTTAGTCAAATCATACTATAGAGTTTTATACACCATATTTGTCGTGAATTTTCATTTTATATTGAAAATTTGAATTACTATACTTGCAATAAATTTAATTTAATCAGTCATTCGAATTTCTATATTTTTCACAAATTAAAATCACACCAGTTTTTCAAATTATTATAGTTGTTACGATTTCAAATTATAATAATTTTCTAATAATAAAAAGTGTTTTAATGGTACTGTATTTTAGCAATAATTCACTCAATACCAGTAATCTTTTACGCAACTATATCAAGTTTTGCAAAATTTTCAAATGTTACATTTTTTGTACAGTCTGCTTTTCTAGTAATGAAGCGTGATAAGAGCAAAGAAAAGCTGCGATTGAGCCTTTGATAAAATCAAAAATTAAAAGAATGCAGCGAAGAATTGTTAAAAATGATCCAAATAAATAAACGTTTAGTTAATTTTAAAAACAAACAAATTAAATGGGAGTAAAAATATGAGAGTTTGTTTGGAAGAAAACGAAGGTACCAAGAACCGGCACATTTGAAGTAAGGATAAAAATAACTTTTTTCTACGATTTTTAAAACCAGTAGGCAGAACTTCTTGCTTGTGTGGATCTCCGATTTCATGCTGGCTGCCTAAAGAGGCATTTAAATTGATATACTAATGTCAACTATAATTAGATGACTGTAGGCTTCTAAAACTAACTTGATATATTTTTAAATATATATCGAATTTCTAAATATAAGTATTTGAGAAGTGATTACCAGAAACACATTCAAGTTTATTGTGCAATCAAACTGGTTTTTATGTTTCTCATTCCACTTTACTTAGTAATGATTTGAGAGATTTCGATAACCTTTTTTTTTTCTCGTCACTCGAGTATTAATTTTCGATCCCGATTGGTTTTAAATTCATTTTGCTGGGAATTCTAAAAATATACAATAAAAATTGTGATTGCGAAAAACCCTGTATATTATCTCATGAAACAAATATATCTCATAAAACATATCGTATTATCTCATAGAAACAAAATAGAAATCGTACTAAACATTTATGAGATCTCGCTTTTCTTGAAAATGCAGAAATAAAATGATTCGTGTTTATTGTAAGTAATACAACTCTGCATCGGTCACGTTAGCTNGGTTCCGTAGAAGAGTTAAAGTGATCTCATGAAATATCTGTATATTATCTCATCAAATAGAAATCGTACTAAAAATTTATGAGATCTCGCTTTTCTTGAAAATGCAGAAATAAAATGATTCGTGTTTATTGTAAGTAATACAACTCTGCATCGGTCACGTTAGCTGTCCAAAGGTACGAATTTTGGATAATTGTTTTCACATATTATTACCCAGATGTTTTATAAAATAAATGAATAAAAATATATTTTTTAATGTTCAATTTGTTTTTTTCCATAATGTAGTGAAAATAAAATATTTTAATATACCCTAAAAAAGTTTCCTATCGTTCATGAAAGATGAATAAGCAATAGATTCTCTTTGAATGAACATTTATTGAAATTTTAATGTAACCAGGCTAATTTTTTCAGAGACCGAGTGGAAGTTATTACAGTCCTTCCACCAGAAGTAGTTACGGCACGGTAAGCACTCATTTATTTCAGTATTTTTATTCATTATTTTATTTATTTTTATTCATTTATTTCAGAATGTTTGTAATATAAGTGATATTTAAGATGAATGAACAGTGCGCCAAAAAATAATAACTTTTGATCTAATCATCAGATATTCTTAGACTCAGAGGGGGAACCTCAAATATGATAATGAATTAGTACAAACGCTATTTTAAAGTACGAAATCAGACACAAAAATGTACAAATCTGCCGATACCGGAAGGACGAGAGTCAATCAGGTGGGAAAAGAAATGTTTACCCATTATCCGAGTTGTGTTTTAATAAAATGAAGAGTGCGGATCGTGATTTGCAAACATTTATTGAGGAAAACAGACACAAAAGCAACGGAAGCAATAAAGAATAAATCTATCGAGTAAAAATCTATCATTAAAACATTGTAATTTCTAATGTGCCTGTTGTCGGGCAGTAACCCCAGGATTCATGGCGAAACAGATGAAAGGCTTCGCATTGTATCGCCCCATTGCTTATATACGTTGTTGGCTAATTAAGAAGAAAAAAAAACTCTTTCATAAATGTCGGAATGCAATGGAAAAGTCTCCACTTTCAGCCTAGTATCTTTTCGGTTTATTATAATCAGTTCACATGCGGCCAGACCCATTTGAAAATATGCGTAGAATTATTCAATAAGTCTGGATCTCTTGCAGTATGCCTGGTCCTCTACTGATACTTTGAATAGAAAATAAGAGCTAGTTTTAATTTTGACTTATTCTTTTTGTTTGAATTCAATTTATAAAGCTTTTTCTCGCTGAAATAAGCCTTTTCTTATCTGGGTTCATTTCAAATGGCTTAAAGGCAATGGATTATATTTCCTCTAATTAGCTTAAATGGGAGTGACATTTCAATGGGCTTAAAAACTATCAGACTTAAAAACTATCCCCCCCCACTAGCCTATGCCGCTCATGAGTACGTTCAATTTTTGAAATAAAGGGAATTTTTTAAACACTTTCGTGGGAAATAATATTTTCACAAACTGAAAAACATTTTGCCTGGCAACTTTTACAAAAGAATTTTTCAGATGATTATGAAATGTGAAAATGAAGAAAGTTATTAATTACTGTAGACTTTATAACATTAAACAAACCATTTATTAAAAATTTCCTGGTTAAATTAAATCAGGGCTTGCCATACCCAAGTTCAACTGTATTGGATAAATTTTGTCCGTTGAACTAATTTATTGATATTTATTTTAAAAACGTTGCAAGTTGCTTTTAATTTTATGCTTTGTGCAGAAATAATTTAATGAAGTTATTTTTAAATATTTTTGCAGACTCCAAACTACGGAACAAACTCCAGCAGAACTTACTCAAAGCCTTCATACACACCAAGTTCTTCAAAATATGGTTCATCATCCTATATCACGCCTACCCGAGAAAAATCCGTTGGTAGAGATACTACTGGTGGATATACTTCAGACTATGGTAAATCTGGTTATACTTCAGACTATGGTAAATCAGGTTATACATCAGACCGCAACAGAGTCGGCTACACTTCGGACTACAACACAAAGCCCAGCTCTACGTATTCATCCTATAGCAAACCAATCTATGGTTACGGCAGCAACAGAAATGTTAGCAGACAGAACAGTATAACAGGTTCGGACAGACTGTCACGACAAAATAGCCTGACTGGCAATGATAATTTATCCAGGCAAAACAGTATGACTGGAGTTAATTTATCCAGGCAAAATAGTGTTACAGGAAAAGACAGTTTGTATAGAAGAGACAGTTATGGTACTTTAAATAATAATTTCTCGAATTACGGAGGATATTCCAGATCTCAAAGTAAAGAGGATGCAACCAGTAATCTAAATGGTTTGAGTAATTCTGAATCAAAATCAAAGTAAATAATGTTTTTTTAATGCAAGATTTTTGTTTAACTTTACTAAACATTTGTCAGTAATTTTAGTGGCATATTCTGATTCCATATAGTTTTTGGAGGAAAATTTCTTTTCAAGATAAGTAGCTCAAAATTCAGGTTGTGAGTTATAACAGTATTTATAAATGTATACTATAGTTGTTTAGAGAAAAGTTTAAGTTTGTAAGTAGAAAAGTTTAAATCATATTTTATTAACCTAATTATAAAGGCCTTTTTACAAGAGACGTCCATTATAGACAAAGTCTTCCTGACGACAATACTGTAAAAATTAAGGATTAATTGTATAAATCGGCAATTTGGGTGCAACATTCGTAAAATTCATTTTACCATAACATATTCAACAGTAGGTTTTACAGTAATATTTATTTAATTTAGTGATTCTGGTAATTATCACTGCAAAAATTATGGTTTATCAGATTTTTTGTACAGAAAGATGTTCCGGTAAAAATTTATTTCACGGTAAAGCTGAATGCCGGTGCCTCGTTCCATAATTTCATCCGGAATTTTTACAGTGTACTAAATCAATACTATAAATTTTTTAAATTTTGATTTTCCTTTTTATTTAAAAAAGGAGTTAATGATAAAGGCTTTTTTGGCCTCTTTGTAAAGAATTCGAATCACCATCCATAAAAGAGCACACCCTTTATTTGGCCATTTATCAAAAATCAAGCCAAATGCAATGAAAACGGAAAATAAATTAAAAAAAAAACGTTTAATAAAATGGAGAAATGACATAAAAAAACTTTATCATTACAAGTATTTATATCAAAATTCAAGGAGATAAAAGGAAAAGATATATTGAATGCAATTATTGAGAAAAGGACTACAGTAAAAGATTACAAAATATGTTAATGGCAGGCTGTTAATAATAAAATAAATGTTTCTTTAAGTAATTTAAATTTAAAAAAAATTACCCTTATTTATTCAATATTGTATTTTTATCCGATATATTATCATAAGTAACAACTGTGATAACTTTAATAATTAAAAGAGAATTAATGTGTTTCGAACCAGGTATTGCTCTTAAGAAGCACAATTTTTCTATCAATATTTTTTTTAAATTATTTTCCTAGAGTTAATTGTAAAGCTCCAGCTGATTTCACCACTGATGAATCAGAATCGGAAGAAGAAACTGAATCAGATGAAGAAGATTCCGATTTAGAATGTGATGAAATACTGATGGTTACTAGACCTACTTCTCCGAACAAAGACAATTCCAACGGAACAACAACTTCCTCCAACAAGATCGCTGTTACAAAAAAGGAAAAAGTGAAAATCAATGTAAGTTTCCTTTTAAAATGTGTACTCCTGAAATTCCTAAACACTTCAAACTGAAGTTTTGCGAAGAATTTATTCCTTTTGAAAAAGCAAAATATTATAATAGTTTAAAAAAAACAGAGTCAAAAGACAAATGTCTATTTTTGATTTAGCACTTAATATGATTATCTAAAATTAATATAATGACTTTTGAGTAAAAATATAAATATTGAAAAGTAACGATTAAAATGTACACGTGAAATTACGAGTGCATTCCAGAAGAAGTCACGATTTCAAAATATTGCCGAATATTGCATTGTTTTGCCGATATTTCTGCTGTACGATTTGATACTATGTTGCTCCTGTCGGACAATGGAATGTATTCCCAAGTTCAGCGGCTTCCAAATAATGTTCCGGGAGATCCTAGGGTTCCGTAGAAGAGTTAAAGTGATTCAGACAACCCATGCTTTTTTACACAGTTTTTTAAATATATTTTTGAAATTTGCTATCATCTTTAGATTTAATCAATAATTCATTATTTACTTACAAAGTTGATTTTGATTGCCTTAATGAAACATATTTAAAGTCTTTTGAGTCCTACATTTTTGCACAATGTTTCCGAAAATAAAGATAAAACAAAACAGACAAAGAAAAAACAAAAACGCTTCGACGCATTTATATTATTGTATTATACTTTTAAGTTTGTTATTTAATTAAAATTTTCACAGGGTTCTATGTTTTAAAATTAAAAATTGAAGCCCTAAAATTGCAATAGTACAAATAAGGAAACTGACTATCTCCCTTACGCGTTTGTCGGATTTGAGCTATGCTTATGGGGCACAAACATCCAAAAGTTCAAGAAATCCTATTCTAAATGAAAAAGTATTCAAAATACAATCCGCCTTCTTGTGTTATGTAAATTTTTATGTAAACAAAACCATGCAATTATTATAATACAATCGTTAAAAGCGAGAAGGAGAGAGAAGCAGTAAAATGTTGGTTTAAAGAGTACTTATATGAAAGGTAGAACTTGAGTGAAGAAAAAAATTAAGTAAAATTTGCTGACAAATGTATGAAATTTTTTCTATTGAAATGGATTGCTATAAAGCTTTAGAATATGACAAAAGTCGAGATTTTTTTTCAATATTTTCTCAAAGGATTATCAGTGCTAATAACGAAAGATCAAGTAAATATCCTAATTTTGAAAAGTAATGAGATTCAAGTATAAGTTTCCTGTGAAGAATGATACGTATTGCCCGTCTATTTACTTGGTGCCTAAAATAGCTAAAAGATGAAGTAAAAAAAATTTGATAATATATTTCTTTTATTATTAAAAATTTCTTTCATTACTTTCATAAAAAAGTAACGCTACTTTTTTATTTAAAATAATAACGAAAAAAATTAATTTTTAAAAGTAATGAGTTATTAATGAAAGTACTAATTTTCAAGAATAACAAGGTGTTAGTTAAGTACGTATTTTTATACTTGTACTTCAGATACTTTATGAAAAATACTACTACCCTGCACGCGCTTGATTGACTCTATACAAATATGATGTTTCTAATGCTGTTTGCGAAAGGATGTTGCCTTCTTTTGTTTATTTTTCTGATGTTGTTTTGTATCTATTTTTGCTTTTAGCTAAACAAGCCACGAGATACTACCGAGACATCATGCCAAGTGGTCCCGGAAGACATTCCCGCAAAGAGAGAACGTTTCATATCTTCACGTCCTACTAGTCTTTATCTTAACAAATATTATCCCAGCCCCAGATCTTATACATCTACAACAAGAAGTTATGGAAGTAACGAAACATCTCCTAAGACTCCAGACTCTTCCAAAATACCTGTTATTAAACAACAGTTATCCGTGGATGAACCTGCGTCTGCTGGTGGGTTTTCAAGAGACGCATCTCCCAATGCCAGAACGCAAAATGAAGAGCCTAATAAAGTAAGATGTTGCAAATAAAAAGAAATTACAAAACTGGCAACAAAAAAATACAGAAATGTATTTAAAATTCTGAAAAATTTATTATTTTAAAAAAATTAATGGATAACAAGAAAAACCTATGCAGAAATACATATAAAATTTGAAAAATCTACTATTTTTAAAAAAAATTAAAAGATAATACATTTTTTCTTAATCCATTATGCATTATTATTTTAATCCACTATGCTTAAAAAATCAAAGATTATTCTAAACTATCTTATTATTAAACGATTATAATGTTATAACTATATAAACTGAAAATACTTGCATATTATTATACATTATCCTATTATTTAAGAGTAATCATATGTTTTCTACATAAATTGAAGGTATAATTTAAGATTATTATATACAATCTTATTATTTAAAGATTATTACATGATAACTAAGACTCTTGTCTTATTATTTAATGATAAAAAAAATCTAGTGACACATTTTTTGCAACAATGTGTGTATTCTATATTATTTTTCTTAATTTTCTTCGTTATATACATATATATATATATATATATGTCTTTTATGTTNGAAAATTAAGAAAAATAATTTTGTTTTCGGCTTTTTATTTATATTAATAATAAAGTTTTATTTTTCAATAAAAATTTTTTTTACAAATTATTATTTTAAATTATTTTTCCTCTTCTCTTTTTATAAATCTTTGGTAATTTTTTTCCCATTTTTTTCTCTACATTTTTCACTTATATATGTATATACATATAAAAAATTGAAATGCAATGCGTCTAAATTGCCATCTTAAACATGAAATGCGTGAACGTACATATTTACAAATTTCAGAATGAAATGTCTCGCGTTACAGCTGGAACAAACTGAGATATAAGTTTAAAAGAATTGAAGGTTAAAAAAGATTAATTCGCATCAACTTCTATATTATGATTTAATTTATATTCTATATTACGTTTTAATTTATATTCTATATTATGTTTTAATTTATGTCTTATATTATGTTTTAATTTATGTTCTATATTATGTTTTAATTATATTTAAGTGGGTTAAATATAATAATTTTATTGATAACAAAAATAATAATAACACTTATAGCTTAACAGGGACAGCTCAAAGTTTTAAAATTTATAACAGTGTTTTTAACAAAGTTGTGAGTCTTTAGAAGCAATTATTTTTAGATCATAATTATTGTTTTGTTTCTGCAAGCTTTATTATGTCATTTATTTAAACTTAATCATTCTCATTTTAATAATTTTTTACCCACTGAAAATTTAAATTTTTTGAAGTGAAATTTGTTTAAAGATTTTAGTAATTGATATAAATTATTAAGTGTTTACGCTAGAGCACATTTTAAGTGGATATAACTTAAGCGAGCAGGGTTTGCAAACCATATAAGATTGCATTCTTCGGGAGACTCGAGTTCCCCCAACACAATAGTTTCTAAAAGTGCAAATATTGTTTTAAAAATTTTTATACTGCTACACTAAAAAGTATATGAAAAATAGGCTTGCGAATTTTCTATGAATAATTTTTGAAAAAAAAAATTTATAAATTGATTTTTCTAATTCTTTTATAATTCTGAAACTATATAATTCAGTTCTATTCAATATAAAAGATCTTTTTCAAACTTTACTTGGATTTCCAAACGTTTTGCTAAGAGTGTGTAAAAAATTAAAAAATTTCTGAACTAAAATGTCATAGTTTTACTTCTTAAAAAATTATTAATAAAATATATATCTAAACGGTGTTTTATGAATTTCCTGTTAACAAATTTAAGTAAACTGAAATAAATATATTCCAGATTGCATGTAGCTAACTTTAATTGGATTTGAGATGTTAAGTTTAAATATGTCAAAAATCTAAATGGAGAAGACAGCCGTTAAAGTTGCAGTATTTTTTATCGCTATTAAATATGGAGGAAAAAATAAACTGAGTTTCGTTTTGTGCTTAAATTGAACTGCATAATTCTTTCACCATTTGAATAAAATATTATGAATTCAAGTGATAAAAAGAACTCATGTCTTTAAAGATTTTTGTGTGTTAGACTCCCTTGATATCGGGAAAATGCTTATTTCACTGAGTTTGCGGTAAAAATACTTAATTTTTGAAAGTGAGTTACTTTAATTATCATTTGACATTTATATATGGTAACTAGAAACATTTGGATTATAAATATCCCTGGGCAATAATATCATTGCTTAAACAATGCAATTTAAAGGAAGAAAGACGTTCTAGTGGTCATTTTTTAACAGTAAGAAATTGTGTTATTTTCACGTGTAAATATATTTAAATATTTTCGATATTATAGTTGTAAAAAGTACATAAGTTACTATATAAAAATGTAAGCATTTACCTTTTCGAATATTTAAAAATAATACTATGTATCTGCATTTATTTACAACTTTCGGTACGCTTATACAAAATTATATTTATTTTTCAGACTGGTATCAACATCTTATATGCTTTCATGAAACTAGTTACAATTTCCTTTCTTTTTATAATTTCATTTAAGACAGAATTTCTGAAAAAATAGCATCAAATTTATTCAGAAATCTCCAACTGGTTTCATTTTTCTTTATAATATTATTTTTACGTTAAATATTATTTATATACCGTGAAATAAACAGCTTCATATAATTTTTTAAACATTTCCGTATGAATTTATACTATATTTTCTAAGATTTTTATGTTAAATTCTTTTTTTAAAGTAAGCCAAAAGTACCTTATTTTTAAGAAAATGCCGAGAAATAATTGGAACACATTTAACCGAGATGTGGGGAGAGGGGTAGGNGGGGGGGGGAGAGTTATTATCGACAATGTCAACCTTCATCTATGAAAAAGTACCTCACTGTAAAATCGAGTTAACATGTCTTATATACTAGCGAATTGGAAGTGTATTTTTGTAGTGGTAGACACACTACAGTACTCCCCCATCAGAATTATACATGTGATAGAATTCGATGAATGGATACCACTTGTTGATTCATTGCAGCTTTGTGAGAAGCCGGAGAGCTGTGTTAAGATCACCGTACTTTAGAGTGCTGATCGTGGATTAAGTTCACGGTCGTGGTTGCTCCTGTGTTGCCATTAGCAATCGAGTGTATGCTGGCCAACGTTGTGTGAGATCGAGACTGAGCAGCAACAGTGCGAGGAGGTGGATAATGTCGCAGTCATAAGTAGCAAGTCAACTGTTAAATGTGGACAATCCATCTAGGTAGACGTGTTCAAATCGAAGTGGGCGTTACTATCAAGGTAGGCTTGTTCACATCACGTCCGGGTCACCAATGTGGGGAAAGTTGGTATCGACAATGTCAACATTCATCTTTAAAAGGGTACCCCACCATAGAATTGAGTTAACATCCCACCATAGAATTGAGTTAACATGTCTTATATACTAGTGAATTGGAATTGTATTTTTGTAGTGGTAGACGCACAACACGTGAAATAATAGAATACATTTTAGAAAAAATTTATTAAAAAGTAAACATCTAAATATTCGAAACAAAATTTGACTTTAAGTAAGTAAGAGTTTTATTTTTACTTTCATAATGAAACAAAAAATATTAAAAAGTAGTTGGCTCAGAGGTTAAGGAACTGAACTGTCACTTTAAAGACGTGGTGTTCGATCCCCAGTGGAGGCATGAAGCCCACCCATCTTCAGATCGGTGGGTACCAGCTTGTCTGAGAAATAAAGGCGGTTGGCTTGTGCGCAGTGCTGACTACATTGCCACAATCACGCCGTTGGGAATGAAATTGTGGAATCTTAACCTCCATGACCCTCCTAGCCTACGACGGGCTATTACGGAAATGCTAGTTATAATTTACTGAATAAAAAGAGCAATAAAATATAAGCAAAATAAATACACGAAAATATGAAGAAATGTATAAAATGAAACCTATATTCAAACTTATTTATTAGTTGCGGAATATAAAAAAAAATAGTTCATGTAATAGTCTAAGATGGAGGGAAAAGAATATTTTCTTTGTCTTAAAGATAAAAATTACATTATCTGATGGTTATAAAAAGGGCTCCTTCTTCCCTAGAACTACTCTACTTTAAAACAAAGAAAAGATTATTTTCCCTCCATGTTAGACTATTACATGAACTATTCCTTTTCTATTCAGTAACTAATGAATAAGTTTGAATATTTGTTTCATTTTATTCATTTCTTCACATTTTATTGTATTTATTTTATTTATATTTTCCTGTACCTAGTTTCCAAACTTTAATTTTCAAGGTTGTAAATATTTTTGATTTTTTTTTTTGGAGTTTTAAATATTTGCGTATTAAAAATACTTAAACCTTAAAGTTCAAAATCTGGAAACCAAGCTCAATAAAACATATCTCAAAGAATGAAATGAATAAGAAAAAAAATCCAAAAATTAACTAATTACTCAATATTTAAAGAAATTATGTTCATGTGAACTGTATGAAGAAGAACTCCGTATGAAGAAGCCTCTTTTCCATTTAAAGGGGATCCTTCATCCTTTGACGCAGAATTTTTATGAAGCATAATTTTTCATGCTTTGTTTTAATATCTTGCATTAATTTAGATCAAAATAAGCAAAATATATTATATTTAACATTTTAATAATTGATGGCTATAAAATACAGCATGAAACAGAGGAGTCTTTTTCTGCATCAAAGTTAAAATCTTCCAAAACATAATTTTTCAAATTTGCGCTCATTTTCACTTATTGAGATCTTAGAGAAATAGTTATTCATCATTGAAATTTCGTTAATTTACAAAATCAATTATTGAAAAATTTTTAAAATGAATGAAAAAAAAATACAAACTACTTTTTTGAGATTCTATACTTTAGTACAAACATATTTCCGATTATCATACAGTTTTTTTTGGTAACTATTAAACTGTTTTTATAATTAAAAAATATCAAAATACATTTTTGCTTGTAATTAGAGCATCAGAAAAAAATGTATATATGATAGTGACACCGATGTCCCATTTGTGTCAAAGGATTAAAAACAAAACAAAAGAGAAAAAAAAATTAATTTAAAATATGATTATTTATAGGATTTCCGTAAATCTGTTCTTAACATGAATGTGGATGAAAGTTTAAGGGATGAGTACGGCCGTCGTCAGGAAGAAATGAGACGTCACAGACGTCGACATGGGGGTGTGGAACAACAATCCTCCTCTGCAACTCCCAGTTCGACAGAGGATGAGAACCACCTGCCCGATCCAGATCAAGAGGTTCGAAAAAGAAAAGTACTCAAGAAATCTCCCTCCAGAAGTGGTATGTCAATGTTTCTTCTCATTTATTTTGAGATGGAATCAACAAACTGTAATTTAAGACATAAATTAACCATTGGTTTCATAATACAAAAGAAAAATTAATAAGAATAAACTTTGAAAAATATACTTATATTTAGTTATTGCAATTTGAGGTCAATGAAGATGATAAGAAAACATAAATTGAAAACAATTTTTTATGACTCATTTCATGGAATATGATTAATAAACATAAATTAAAATTTATTACATCCGGTGTAGTAAAAGGAGAAGTAATAATAAAGTCAAGGTTAACCACTTTATTATCACTTCTTTCTAAAAATAAAATTCCCAAGTTTTTTAAATGTTACATAGTGCTAAAACATAATATCGCTTAAATTTGCTTCAACTTTAATGTGGTGCCAAGTTACATTATATTATCGTTCTTCTTAAACCTCGATACTGTGATTCAACTGGGTTCTTAACATCTTATTAAGATTGCACTAAATGCTGCTCTAAATTATAGGTCACGATAACGGTACTATCGGAGTAACGATAGCACGGAATGGTTCAAGTTATCATCTTATTCAAGTTTCACTAAATTTAGATCGGATTTCTAACTCCAGGTAACAATACTTTAGGATTCACGATGGCACGCTACCCTGAACGCAAACATGAATCAAATTAAAATCTTATTCAGGCTTCACTACATTTTGATCTGAATTATAGCTCTAGGTAACTATATTATGGAAGTCACGATAGCACTTTACCTTGAACTGAAACTTGGTTCAGATTAACATCTTATTCAGGTTGCACTAAATTTTGATCTGAAATATAGTTCAAAGTATCGATATTATAAGATCCATAAGAACAGAATGTTAAAGCTGAAACGACTTTTATGCAAATAATTAAAGCCTACGGAAGAAAATCAATAATTAATTCAATATTTATTTTATTTTAGTTCACAATCTTTCGTATGCCAAACCACATTCTAAGTCGATAAATAAAATCTAAAACATTGAAAAGGAATCAAACTAGATGTAGCAACATTCTATGTCACTAACAAAACAGCAATACCACATCCTAGCTCTTTTAACTCACAAGACTCCAGTTCATTTTAGATCTGAGGTCGTCATACAAGGCACTCATTTCTCATCGTGAAAAATTGAATTTCTATCCCAGATGGCACCTTGAAGGTTACCTAGCTTTTTCCAAACGAAGATAGAATAAATTTTATGTTACATACGAATGAGGCAAAACAATGTGAATATGTTTTATGAATTTTTTGTGTGCTTCATTCACGTCGATTTGCTTTATTCAGCAGTTTTAGTTTAGAAAGTAGCTGAAATGGGAAGTATTAAATATGACCGACATCATGTCGTAGGTCAGAAAAATTGTGTAGCCTTAACCTCCATGACAACCCGACTCACATTGAGTTGTTGTGGGAATTGTTTTTTAATAATACTATGGTTTAATGTTTAACCCGTGAGGGAATTAATCTGCAGATTAGTTTGTTAATGTACATATTATCAGGTTTCGAACTTTAGCGGTAACATATTCAATATTGCTATTCAACCGAGTCTTTAAATTGGACGAATTTCGATGGATGAAGATGACTTGTTAACAGCTTTTTAACGCACTTCTATCAAACCGAAAAATAATTTCATCACAAAAATGTCCCTTAACATGTTTCCTTTTTTCGGAAATTTTAAATCATTTTATAATAACTACATTCATATTCGTTTATTGCAACTCACCTCAGCAAGCTTTCTCCATTTTCAGGTATTTTGTCTAAATGTGGTTCTCGCTCTAAAGTGGAGAACTCCGTGAAAAAGAGCCCATCGCATGCAAGAGTTCAGAGAAGATTAAGAGAAGAAGGAACAGACTTAAAACAAGTTTCTTCATCATCATCTACATCCACATCATCTAGTTCTGAAGATGACACAAATAGGTAAAAACTCTGATATCATCATATTAATCATATCAGATATCATAATATCATCATTATAAGGATTATGCGACATATATATATAT